CTGCTGTGGCTTCCCCCTGTCCTCTGCTGAACACATCCCTGCTCTGCTGCAGAGTAGCTGCTGGTCTCAGCCTCCAGGTCCGCAAGGTTCAGCTCATCTTCATACAGAACTCATTAGACTCCACGCTAACGACATAAAATGAGCGCCTGTTTTTTCTTGTTCTCAACAATTCACTAGTCAGCAGAATGAGCACCGTGTGTGTTTAGTGGGTGAACGGTCCCAGTGGTGGAAAGTAATAGTATAAATGTATCATTACATCAGGGCAACAACTGGGTTATTAAAATAGGCGACACTTTATCGCATATACAAACTACAAACACAAAGTAAACATTGTTAGATCCAAATATGACACTGAATCAATCATTTATATAACAATTTTTGAGTTATGCAGCATCCAGAAAGAGGCAGACGCAGGATACCATAATCTAAATGAAATACAGTAGCCCTGACGATTAGACAGTAGCAGTAAAAAAAAAAAAAGGTATATTATGGCAAATGGAATATGTAAGGAACTGCTAATGGACCCTTGATAAGTAATGGTCTTACATTACTATTTCATTATACTGACATTAGTAATACATGTTAATACAAAGAATGGCAGTAAATGTTACAGGCTCAACACATTTTTCAGATGGCTTTTGTATAAAGCACATAGTTAAAATGCTAATTTAATGTAACTTGATTTAATGTTAATATTCTTAGTTATTGGTAGACATACAAAGTGAAAAAACAGGAATGTGACAAAGCCTTATATTTTGACCCTAGGTCTACACTGTGCTGCAGGTCTTGAGAAATTTCCAGTTTTTTAATTCAAATTTTATTTTTAATTTTTAAGAACAGAGTTGATGGCATCTAAAAAAAGACAGCATTTCTCTTATACTGAAGGCAGAAGTCTGTTACAGTAAAACAATCGTTCATAAAACGACTTCAACAGCATACAGACACCACTGTTTATGTTACTATGTCATAGATGTGCTGACGATGCATCATCTGTTGTTCTTACTGATATTAAAAGTTATAAAAATCTAAGCAGCTAAAATGCAGCTACCCTCACTGCACGACTTTTTCACAAATTTGTGAATTAGATTAGAGGAACCCAGAAGCAGGGAATGCATAGCTTTGACACTCATACAGTATGTGGGCACTGAACTGTTTACTAGTTCATCCACAGCTGCTCTTAGCACCAGGCCAGTCTCCACACAGGGAGATCAGCCGGCAGCGAGGGCTCAGTATGTGAGAGGACTCAGGATAAAGAGGCGATCTTCCTCCTTCCTTATCCACTTCAGTAGCTTGGTGACAGCAGACACCGCCAAGGCCTTGGTCCCGAGCGGACTGAAGCAAAGGTAGAGTTCGAAGCCACTTGTCACCTGCAGGAAAGAAGGGAGAGTAAGACAAGTGGTCTGACCATCTAGATTAGTATTACAGTATTTTACCATATGTTTGGCTCAGTTTCAATGTGTAAAACGCTTAATGCAAAGAACCAATCTATAAACTGTGGTTTAATCTTCTCCGGCTTTACAGGACTACTAATGTATTTGAAAGGAAAAAATGCTGGAAATATATTATGTTTCATGTCTTAAATAAATACAAACTTCATAACTGATTCAGTGAACCACAGTCATGTTTTTCCTTGTGCGAAAGTAAGATATCAATTTAAAACACTGACTTTTTAAAAAGTAATTCTTATTCTAAATCATTTAAAATACATATTTCTGCATAAAATGAACATTTTGTCTCATGGCTATATTTACAATCCTGAGGAAATGGTCACTGCATACTAACCATTTTATTTCAACATGTAACAATAATTACAAATTCAGTGATGAAGATATACGATGTGATACATGTACCATCTAATTTCATATTGTGTACTGTGTGAGATTTTAAAGAAAAAATAATCAGTGCACAGCA